TTCTGCAAACTTTTATTAATCAACAACTCTGTTACATGAATAATGCACACATATATCAGGCAGAATCCATTCAAAGATAGCCTCATTGTGATTACAGAACTCACTGGTGGGCAAAACTGTTTTAAATCTAGAGCCCTAATTTCTCTGCATTCCCAATCAATGCTGAATTTCTGAAAGAGACTAATATGGGATCAGACTGAAACCTTCTCCTCTATTTCCCAAAGTTTGAAGTTTCATGATGAAGAATACATCTATACCTGCTTGGGAATATCAATTACTTGCATTTCTTAAGACTAATGTTGAGCTTATTTTAATGCCACACTGAATTCTGCTGTTAACTAATCCTAAAAACAACTGTTACCATAGTTTTAAAACCAATATAATGCTTGACACTGGAAACAGGAGAGAGGGCTAAGTAAAGTCACAGTGAATCCTGCCACAAGTGAAGCTTTTCTTCTTTACGTGGAGATCTGAGAAAAGAACTGTGCATTGTTTCCACCTTGTCTGCATTTTTCTCATTTGTAAATACATATTTTGGGAAAGCCCAAGGGCTGGACTCAAACTATGTGATACTTCCCAATCATGTACGACAACAGTTAGCATTGAAAGATTGTAATACCCACCGTGACTAATTTTGCTTGATAGCCTTAGTTTCCATGAACTAGATTTTACCTTGTGTTTAAGCCATCCCTTGCCCTGGCAAGGGATGGCTTGCATGGAGATGTCAACACATGGGGAGCAGTGTCTTCCCCTCTCCAAGTCACGCTGTGATGCAATTTATTTGCAATTTGCAATTTATTTGCAATTTATTTATTTACAATGCAATTCTCTGCAGCAGAGAGACTGCAGAAATACAAAAGCTTCCACATAAGATAGAACTTGGATCACACATTGTTAAGCATGTCATTATTAGGGGCTGGTACATGCATGCATTTCTCATATGTAAAGTTCATCCCAGAAGAAGCAATGAATAAAGAGAATGGGTCCGTGTGGGTGTGTACTTATGCATAACTGTTGCAATGATATGCATCATTCACCCCTAATTGGCAGTAAGAGTGCATTTGTAATATCTTTGCTTAATCATTATCTTTGTCCTCCCCAATTTCTGGAGCTGCCTGTGCATATATATGAGTCCCTTTTTACCTGATTTCTTTTTCATTAGGAGCAAGTATTTTGGAGATAGACAACAATTTTATCAAACAGCGTAGAGCAGGCTTCAATTTATCCATCTCACTGAACTTAGCTGAAGTTGAGGGAACTGTGATTATTGTCTCTGTTTCTTAGCATGATATTAATTCAATCATAGTTTTGTTGACTTTTCTTAGTGGTTGAACACTTTTTAGGAACAATTTTCTGCTACCTCCCTCCTCCCAGAAAGGGTATTAGTTTGTGCAGAGTAAGTTCTGCTTGGATCTTAAAATTAGTGAGGGTAGCAAAATGTTCAAATATATGTCAGGCATGTGGTGTGGTTGCTGGTGTATGTGGGTGGCTGATGTCTAAGCAAGATTGTCAGCAGCTGCATGCTTGAACTGTGGGGGCCCCACCCATTTTGAGGTGTAACTCGTTGCACTCATGCAGCCTTTAATATACTTGATGGGTAGATGCCAGTTGAGACCTGAAACTAACAATTGGGTCACTATTCCTAGGGAAAATGGTACTGAACAAGATCGACCCATGATCTGAGTTGATCTGAAGTAAAGTTGATCTGAGGTAAGTCAGTCACCTACATATTTCTCTAAAAGGTGTTCAGAATTCTGAGGATAGATACTATGTTTTGTGAGAAGTGAGATAAACATGCAAAATCCATATTTTACAATTCCTAACATGTTTATCATACCCCTCTAAATTCTTAGTGAGAAAAGGGAAGGAAATAATGGTACCACAATAGTTGAGACTCTCAGACACATCTAATTTTATTTGTCCTGTCAGAAAAGGTCAAGAACTACACCAAAAATACTTCAGTCTCTTCTACCTACTGACATACAATAACCACAAAATTATAAATCATCCAGTAGCTGTTCTGGACATTGTTTTCTTTTTTTCCAATGGTTTTTTACATTTTAGATGAGAAATGGATTTACAGATGTAGTATGAAGAAGAAAGAGTTAGAGACAGGAATAAAAAGACAATGAGATTTGGCACTACAGTTTTGGCTACATTATACAACCATTTATCATTACTTCTTTTGTTTTCCATCTCCAGTAGAGTGGGCTTTTTTTTCTTGCAGGAAAAATATAAACCAGATATCTGATTTGGGGGCTCATCTTTAAGACTCTGTCTTAGTGACAGTTTGATTAACTTTGAATCAGTTCTAGTTTGCTTAGTTTTTCTCTGCATTCAGGGGTAATTTAATTTGCATAATTTGGGAATATTCAGCCAAGAATTCCCCCATTGACCACTCCCAAGCAACTCCTATTAATACAAATTAATATTTTGGTGTATCACACCCTTGGTTTCTTTTTTCTTCATGAAACTGAAGGTTAATTTGACACAAACCAGCTCTGCAAAACCAATAATATTTAAATACATAACTCATTCAAACCTCTGTATATATATTATAAAGCATAAACTACATGAGATCACAGAGTTTCCTAATATGATGTATTAGGTCAAACACTTACACTCTTGAACTGTTTCCTCCTGTGCATTTATTCAGTAATTTCTACAATTTTAAATGGCTCTTATGATTTCATGGAAGCCAATTTGTGGAACTCTGAAAACTTCTGATAAAAATCCAGCATATTTTATTTACCAAAGATGAATTTACAGTAGCTGTAATATTAATCTATGTAGCACATTTACTTCCATGACTGGACTCATGTGATTTGAGTCTTGCATCTAAGCACTGATCAGACCCTGAAGTGGTTGAATCATGTGGCCTTAATTGATACAATTGGTGAAACTATGGAGTGCCACTGTCTGCCAAGGTCATCAGTACTAACTCAGCTGCACTAGCAGCCTGGCCTTGTATAACACAATTTCCTAAATGGTGCCAAGGACTCAATGCAAAATAACATATGCATTATATTCCATTGGGAGCAGTGTGTATACTTGATTTTTGAAACACACATGGATTCTTTTTGTGAGAGAAAAAAATGGCTTCTGATAAGTAGCCCCATATCTCTTTCCCATCTACATATTGACAGTGGTATTAGATGTTGGTTTCATGAGTAAAAATGAACCCATAGAGATAGGTGGGAGAATCCTCTTAAAGAGTGAAGCTATGATATGACAAGATGAACATGCCATGATTACATGACATTGTATAGAAATACACATGGGTTTTTGTTGGTGGTGGTGGTTTATTCCACAGCTGCTCTGACATTATGTCACAGGTGACTTTTAAAATTATTTTGCATTTCTTTAAAAAAATGTTTAGTCATTGTATAGGGTGAAGGACAATTAAAGAGGGAGGAATTTGAAAATCCCAGCATGCAAATGTGGCATAAAATGGCAAGGTTATACTCATAAAATTCTTTCTGTAACCTACTCATCATCTACAGAATGTGCTAATTTAATTAGATATCTTTCTTCCAATACTGTCCAATACACAGGAAAACCAATATCTCCTTAATGATCCCTATTGCAGAAAATTTGAAGCTGATAGCCAATATCCCTGTTCCAGCTTGTGCTACATCTAATCTAATTTCCACTTTAAAAAACTATTTGCTGCTTACAAGTCTAGGGTTTTTGGGTTGGGTGGGGTTTTTTTATCTCTTTTGTATCTTGAGGAGAGTACAAAATTATTCAACTGTTTCAGATTCCAGGAATGAAAATGGGCCTCGGCAATGAGGATGAGAATTTTCTGAAGCTATCTGGTACCCATAGACATAAGGAGGGCAAGTGATGAAATATATGTCATAATGTCACAAGGCAAAATTTGTTTATTGCGGACTTGCACCCAGTCTTGGGCTATGAAAGGGCAGCCATATGCCTCGTGATGTCATAATGCATTATTTCATCATTTTGGGGTCATGGTGGTTACTAGCAGATACCAGGGCTAGTTCCTTTTATTATGCATCTCTAGCAACACTTCATTTGCGTGATAACACACCTGCTTGGCTAACCATTTTTTATTTTTATTTTGGCAAGCATACCAAAAAACAGGCTATCTCTGTGCTCCTTTGAAGCTCTCTGTTGTAAGAGTGGCTGGCCATGTGATGGGACATTTGCGGTGGCATCTGTCCATTGCGCTATTGAGCAGGATTCCCAGTAGCCAAGGGGATATAAGCCTGTCATACTCCTTGGGGAATCAAAATAAAATCTGCTTCCCTTCTACAACATTTGTCTCTATCTCAAATTCACCTAGAAACTTGGGCCCTTGTGAGACAGCAGTCCACCCTCTTTTGCCAGGTCTAATTTGATTTGTTGTTTCTGAACTTTGGCATTCGGTTTTGGGCTGTGGGAGGGCAGGATTGCTGTACTGAAAATTGCACTGGCAGTCAGGAGACACCCAGGAAGCTGCTTATATTCACTTTCATGGCTAATATTTCCCTCTGTGAGAAGCAACCGAAGATTAGTAGCCACAATCCAATAGTTTAATGCATGTGTGGGGCTTCTGGTAAAGAGACAGGAGTTTCCTTGTGTGTAAGGGCTTTCCCATTCATTTCAATGTTAGAGACAGAACTATGCATATTGGTGCACTAATGGAGTGCTAAATTGCTTTAAAAGCATCTACATAACATCACTGTCCCTTGAAAACTATTTGATGCTGGATTTTTGCCCATACAATTATATATTTTATTTGTATATGATGGTTGTGCGCTATAAAGTTCCTCCATCAATCTGAACTTTCCTTTCATGTCACATTGTGATAAACAAATTCCCCACTTTTTTTTTTTTTTGCCAAGTTTCAAGGCTGTTTTCTCAGCCCAGAAAGGCCTGATAAATTATGTTTGCCATTTCTTTTACCTTCTTGTCAATGTTTTCTGGGTTTTCTTTTTTTGTTTCATTTTTATTTTCTTAACAAATATTCGGCAATGGTTTTAAAAATATTTGTACATTGTGAGATATAGTCAACACCTAACATGCCTTTGTACAAGATCCTGACTTAGTTACAAATTAACGAGAACAATGCACTAAAGGGGAGGGTGAGAATGAATGAAAGAGAGAAAACTATCCATTAAGATGACACCTGCACTTGGAATTAGCGTATTCTTGTCGCACTGATTAGCAAGGCGCCCTCTCTGAACTAGAGCAATGATTTAGAGACATGATGTGGTTTTCCCACTCCCTCCATCCCCAGGCCATTGCATGGCTTTAATGGCCTTCTGTCTTAGTGGCCTTATTTTCGTGATTTACCGATCCTGAAGAAAGCCAAGGGGATACAGACCGCGAGCTGGTTTGCTTGGCCATGCTGTAATGGCTGATGACAGTGTAGAATCTGCCCCGGGAGTTGGAATCCTGAGCTGAATAGTAAGCGTCGAGAGAGGCTGGAATGCACCTCTTATGCTGGGGATCAAGAAAAAGCAGTAACCGTTAATACTAATTACAACCCATCCATCCATCCATCCATCCATCCATCCATCCATCCATCCATCTATCT